TAAGGCAAGGAGCGAGGAGACCAGGGATACACGAAACAATAGTCTTTTAATCCAAACATCCAAGGAATTACACGGGGCAGACAGGAGCACAGGAAACACCAGGGTTGACGTATAATCTCGGACAAGGACAGACAGCACAGACTCGAACTTAAATGCAAGGGATAATTAACAAACACAGGTGTACTGAATGACTAATTAACTGGGAAGCGGAACACATGGGGAAGAAACATGGGTCACAGAGCACAACAAACAGTCCAGGGGTGTGACAAGTATAATTGGGATACTTTTGATCCAAAAAAAAAGGGATTATTCTGATCCCAGCCAAAGGGTGGATTACAGGAACAAAAATGTAATAAAACTTTAAAACTGGTCCAAAAATACAACATTTGTAACATGTAATATATCCCTAAATCCCCAAACAACTGTCAATATAAAACAAGAATGTTACATAGTTTTGATACTGTTTTTATGTCTGATGATCGTGTTACAGTGTGTTCACACCAGACGCGAATGTAATTAGTCGCGCGAGTAGATTACATACAAAGTCAATGCACAGACACGAATAGAGGCGAATTCGCGCCGGGCGACGCGAATGACGCGAAATGTGCGACGCGTTTGTCGCAAACGCACGATATTCGCCTCAATCGCGTCTTCCGCGCAACTCGAGCAGAAAATTCGCATGACGCATTCTCGCGCAAGCCAATCAGCGAAGAGTTTCTTGACACGTCTAGGTGAATCAGACAATAGAAGAGAGCATTATTGCAGCCGTCTGTTATTATATAGGTCTGGAGCATAGAAAACAATTAAAATCAGTTGGAGTGGTAGTTGTATTTTATTAGCATGGCTACAGAGATGCTGCTATCAACAATAAAAATAATAGTAATATCAGTGTACATTAGTAAAATGTAACACACACATTAATACAGGATCCTAACGTTATTCATCCTCCTCTGGATGGTGCTGTGAACCCAGACACGTCGGCGTTTGGCTTTCCATTGTATTTGGGATTTTTTGACAACAGGTACAAAACAGCAATTGTAGTTATCTCCACCACGGTTGATCGCGCTGTTTTTATTCACGCGAGTGACACGAAAAACGTCCCGCGAGTAATCTAGAGCGAGTGACGCGATGCGCATATTCGCTTCGCGTCTGGTGTGAACACACCATTAGAATACATGTGGAAGCGTCTGTTGTTTCGGTTTCTTCTCATTTTCTAAGTATGTCAAGTATACTTAAATGTCATTTTAAGTATATTTCTGAGAAGTACATAAAGCCCATTTCTGAGAAGTACATAAAAAGTAGACTAAAAGTATACTTTCCTATTTTTAGTTTAAAAGAAGTATACTAATAGCACACTTGAATAAACTTCTTTTTCGTAAGGGTCATGAACAAAAGCCCGGCTCAGGAATGCTCAGAGGAAGCGCCCTGTCCTGTCTGTAATCCTAGATGGAGGCCCCTGCACAGGCCAAAATGAAACTGAGTTTGTCTCAGTCTCCTCCCAAAGCGCTTCCTCTGACTCATTCGGTTAACGGGATTCTGATACTTCCCTTTCCTTTACAATATCATATATAATCAAAATCGCTGTAATGTATTTTGACTGTACAAAATTTTGTAAAGTGAAAAAACAAAAAGATTTTCAACATTCAGCAATAAAAGAAATCAGAAAAGAAACACGAGACGCATATAACGGCATCACATTCAGAGTTCACGCGATATGAGGGCTGCGTTTGCCAAAAGCATCTTGGCAGCGGAAAACGCAGCCCAGATCAGTGAGGTATCTTAACTGTCTTTATTCTTTTCCCTCTATATTCATTGTTATTTCCTTTTTTAACCCGATTTGAATTGATCGATTATGCGACGTGTCCCAGACCAAACTCAACGCAGAATGTCGAAGTCGCCTACATCTTTCTCTGACGTTGACGTATCACGTATGTACGGTGCGTTGTAGCAGATAAAAATGTAATGAGATACTCACTTCCTTTACAATATCATATATAATCAAAATCGCTGTAATGCCTATTCGAAAAGTGAAAAAACAAAAAGATTTTCAACATTCAGCAATAAAAGAAATCAGAAAAGAAACACGAGACGCATATAACGGCATCACATTCAGAGTTCACGCGATATGAGGGCTGCGTTTGCCAAAAGCATCTTGGCAGCGGAAAACGCAGCCCAGATCAGTGAGGTATCTTAACTGTCTTTATTCTTTTCCCTCTATATTCATTGTTATTTCCTTTTTTAACCCGATTTGAATTGATCGATTATGCGACGTGTCCCAGACCAAACTCAACGCAGAATGTCGAAGTCGCCTACATCTTTCTCTGACGTTGACGTATCACGTATGTACGGTGCGTTGTAGCAGATAAAAATGTAATGAGATACTCACTTGGCAGTTTCCCATGGTGAGAGTTTCTGATGGTCTGACCGCTGTCCGAACAACTGCAGGCCACACGCGCAAGAGTTTCTGTAAGTGACGTCAGCACGCAGGGAAATAACGGGCTGGCTTTTAAACGTACTCACGAGACGCTTTGGGCATCTGCATTTTGGAAAACCATTATAATCATCTATACATTATTATACATTACGTCCACATATATTATAGGCTAACTATTAATTCTGCACTTTTAACGTGTGTTTTTTTTTTAAGCAGTAAGAAAATAGTTTGAAAAAGCATCTAAAAACAACAACATTGACCACAAGACTTAAAACCACATATATGACAAACAGTTAGAAAGTCACTATATTCAATTTGCAAATATCAGAACAACCGATTAGGGGACGCACAAAAATCTTTTACCTTTAATTTGTTTAGCACCTCGCCCCCTACTGAACAATCATAATCTGGATGAGCAATAAACATGTATATTCTAATACAGATTACAGACTCAAGTGTTTTGTTTTTGAATCTAGTCAGCAACATTTCAATTCGTCTCAGAGTGATGACTTTTAACATCAGACACGTTTAAAAGCATTACTTGTGTATTTATTTTTTATTGTATTTAGACCAACTTGAATGCTTATGTAAAATGTAGAACAGGATTAATAACTACGCTGACAAGACGAGAGATATTAATCTCTCTTGGATCAATTTTGATTCTACACAACTTGATAAAACGCTCAAAGCTTTTAATCTGAATTCGGTTTGCATCACATTTGTTTTGAAGATAAACAAATAAAATATACATTATTTTTTGTTGAATGATTAAGTTTAATATACTAACAGTTATTATCATTATTTAAACAATTATTTATAATAACTATAATTATATAGCTCTTGAAAATTATTTAACTAATAAAACAAAAATACTGGGGGTTATTTGAAAAATGTGCAGTATAATTCAATATAGTATAATATGCAATATAATAGAGGTTATAAATAGGATTGTATCATCGATGTTTGAACTCAATAATAAAGTCAAACCAAAAGTGTGAAAGGGCCTTGTTGCCAAAAATATAACTTTTGTTTTTTTTGTTATTAAAAATGAAAAAGCAAGCACAGCCCATGTGACAGAAAGTAGCACAAAAGCAATGTAATGCATTACTTTAAAAAAAAAAAGAAGCAACTAACGCAATTAGTTACTTTTTTTATGGAGTAATGCAATTTTGTAACGCATTACTTTTAAAGGTAACTTTCCCCGACACTGTACACTGGTGCTACTTTTCTACATCTGCGGCTGATGGCAGAAGCAGACAAAGTACACAACTCCAAATATTACTCCATTACAAGTGAAAGTTGTAAAGACAGATTTTTACTTAAGTAAAAGTACAGAAGTACTTGCATTTAAAAGTACTTAAGTACAGTAAAATTGCTGTAAACAGCAAAACAGCAAGATTTATTTGACATTATCGCTCTCACGGGACGTTGATGTCATACACAGAACGGTCTGTGCAGTGCTGCTTTAAGACAAACACCTATTGTGTTTTGTTAGGAGACACATACAATAGTTGTTCTGTGGCTTTATAGGCAATATTTTCATTTACACAATTTTGCAAAATCAATACAATATTGTGTCTAAAATGTTGAATTGTTGTAAATAAATATCACATTTGCAACTGGCCAGTGTTCAGAAAATTCTGGGAAATCCCTTCACGTAACCCTAGAAGAGCGATTACCTGTAGGCTGTCAAAAAATCACATTTTAGAGAATAAAAAAATCACCCACTGACTTTCAAAGCTGCTACATAGTAATGATTCTCTATTTCAAAGACCTTGAGAGAAATGTAGTGGAGTGAAACGTACGATATTTGTCTTTCAAATGTAGTGAAGTTAAAGTCATAAGTTTCCAGAAAAAATAAGACTCAAGTAAAGTACAGATACTCAAAAAGTGTACTTAAGTACAATACTCAAGTAAGTGTACTTCATTACTGTCCACCTCTGGCTAATGATGAGATGGTAAGCTTATAACATCTAGTGTCTTGCGTTTTTGGTTTCATTCACGTATAGCAGTACTTTGGCTGTTTTATTAATTTGTAATGGTTAATGTTGTCTCAGCCTCAGATGTCACGCCCATGGACCATTGGCGGAATGTCTGATGCATATATGGTACACTTTACTGGAAACACTTCAGGAGTTTTGAAGTCGTCATCTGATTGGTTGAATTCTACAGAATTTCCGAGAGACGTGTGTCGCGTTCTTTACCGTTCCGCCTGGAAACAAAGATGCCGTGGTGCCAAATGACCGAAAGCTCAGTACTGGCAGTTGCAAAAATTCTTCATTGCAAATAGATGGATTCCGCGAGACCTGGTTGCAAGCTCCCCTGACTTGCATGATGTGGCTGGTGTCTTGGGTTGAACAGTTGCATGTCCAACTGGGCATACAGGTCTTTGTGGTAGCCACTGCCCTTTTTACTTCCAATTTAGTGATCAGTATCATTCCAAGTTGCATGTGCTCCACTAGGTGTCGAGTGCCAGCTTCTTGTCCTTAATCGCCTGTTGCTCTTATTTGTTACGCCACCATGTTTGCTTGACAATAAATATTCGTCCTGCATTTGTTCTTCCCACAGTTTCTGCTGCCCAAAGTATCTGCTCCACAGCTTTGTACCACATAATCTCCACCGTTTGATCACGATTCACCACCAAGTCGGCCAGAGTAGCTGTCAGTTTGTTCGTGTGCATGTTCAATTTCCCACGCTTAATCTTTTTGGGCCGGTTGTTGGCATCTTTGCCGATTGCAGGAGGTCCATTGGAATGTCTAGGGATGCTATCATATTGGGTCACTTTGATGTTGGTCACCAACAGGTCTCACCTCTGGACCATCCAGTAGTCAATGTGAATCTCGTGGCTACCACTGCTGTAGGTGACCAGCAGTGTTGGTCTTTTCTTGAAATACATATTAGTCACGGCTATGTTGTGGGCTTTATCACAGTCCAGGACATGGCATATGTTGTCGTTTCGCATGCTAAGTCTGTGACCTCCACAGCACTGTGCATATCCTTGCTTTTCTGATACAATGTGCCCATTCATTTAATCCTAAATTTGTAGTGAATTTTTCCTTGCCACTGATGCCTTTGGCTTGCTTACTAAGGCACTTTAATACTGCCTTGAGGTTCTTGTCACTGTCAGCATCCATAAGGCTGTCTTGATCACCGCTTCTGAAATATTTGTCAAGGCCAATGCCCCTGAGGTCCATGTCACGGTCTTGGTGTCTCAGATCCTTTCCGTGACCTGCATCCAAATATGCCTACCACACTACAAGGGGCGTTTCCTCCGAGGCAAGAGAAGCAGTGTCTCCTCAAAACACTGGATGAGAAAAAATTAAATAAAATCATAGTACAAAAATAAAACAATGCCAATATTAGAAAATATAATATTAAAAAGGTTTTCTAAAGAAACTTTGTCCAACAGCGACACCAGCAGGTAAAGTTACAGCGGGAGTCCATGTCATGTCTCGCCTCCCCTGAGACCATTTAGTTTTAACAGACCCCATAAAGCGTGCGTGAGTTTGGAGGGGGGTAATTGAGAATAAATGGGGGGAAGTCACGTGAGATGAGGCATTGCCTCCATCGCGATATGATTGGATATGACTGGTTACGTTCGGCTGTGATTGGTTCATCAAGATTCTTAAAATGGACTTTATGTATTAAACAACACAGAACAAGGGCTATATTTCAGTATAACTATGTCAGAAGTTAAATTACACAAATTTTAATTAAAGTTAAAATTGCTAAATACACAAACACAGACACAAATTTTTGCCTAGTAAAAAAGTGGCCTGTCTCAACTACATTTACATTTATTCATTTGGCAGAAGCTAGTTCAACTAGAACAGGGAGAGATAAATACTTTTGAAAGTATAGACGACTATTTTTTCTTTCCCTTTTTTCTACCTGAAAAGCACAGGAAAGTTCATTAACAGTCTACATCACATTTTAGTTGCTCTCTTTTCCACTAGATGTCAGTAGGCTACACCACAAAAGTAGTAAAAGGTTTGGAGCAGAATTGATGAGGAGGTGTTCTTTTGTGCTGGATTAAGTGTACAATTTCCAGATTAATTAAAAAGGCACATTCATTAAAAAGGCACACTCATATGCACATTAATTTGCATATGAACTACTGTATCCTTGTATTACAATAAACGTGTTTCACAAATCATAGCTAACGGTCGTTAACACAATCCCTTATGGAGTTTGAGACAGTTCTCTTTTTCAAGTAAAAAACTTTGAAGAATATGAGGGCGTTTTACATGTTTGCAGGATCAGCAGGTTACATACAACCATAAAAGTAAAAAAAAAAAAAAAAAACCTAGATGCTGATGGGTGCAGTATGTGGATGTACATCACTGCTTAAATTACTCAATTATATACTGATAATAAAAAACGCTCGGTAATCATATTTTATTCAAAATTCTAAACATATCTCTTGCTCTTTTCACTGCACTGTCCTTTTCTGTAGAATAATAACACCAATAGTAATTTTCTTACCATTTCTGCAGAATATAGCATGTGTACAGAATGCAAATGTGTATGCCAATACTCAGGTGACCACATTTTTTCCAACTCAATAGCTGATGACTGGTAAAAGTTTTTATACAATGTGTATTTAATGCACTCAAATCTTTATAGATCCTCCCTTTTTATAGGCTCTAGCTCCTCCTCCAAAATATACCAAGTGCTTGCATGAAAAAATACAAACAAACAAAAACAACTTATATATAAACCCAACATATATAAAACAACATATATACATTAAAAATAAATATTTAATGGCAAAAGTTCAAGATTAACCAATGGGCTGTTGGTTGATTGATTAAATAATAATGCTGTTCCCACCAAATCAGTGTCTGTCACTGGAAACAAGAAAATGCAAACAGAAAAATCCAGTAACTACAATGATCTTACTTGGACAAACTCTTACATAGAACTTTTTTTTTTTCAGATTTTTATAGATGCTCATTACTAGCAATAATTAGTGCATGTGATATGATATTAAGTTTTAAACTTCATTCAGTCCTGTCAATCATCATCATCGTGAGTGTATATAAGCAGTCAGTGAGCCGTGGCAGCGCTAGTTTTTTTTGCATTCCTCCACCACCCCATCTCCTCCTCTATTCTAAGCCATCTCAATCTATCCAATCCTCTAGGTTTAGCACAGAGCTCCTTAAACGACAGCAAGCCAAATTCATTTACCATCATTTATCAAGACTGTAAGGGCAGGTGAACTTGTGAATATGTGTATGTAATATTTCTTTTTCTACTTAGTAGTTTAGGTGCATACTGTGCAGTATTCACTTAGTCAAAGGAGAGTTTTCCGTTCTGAGCGTACCGTGTGTGTGTGTGTGACGTGGGTGGAATCGTAGAGTTGTAGCGTTGGTGCTGACAGCCAGGCGCAAAGGAATTTCTCATGGAAATGATCCTCAGTGTAGAGAGGGCCTTTAATTGGGTGAATATGTCATAAGGGCTCACAGTTAATCATAGCAAATAGAGAAATAGAGGACAGCTTAGAGGAAGTTTGGGTCGTTTGGGAAATGGTGAAGAACGTGGGATGTTGTAGCAATGTGTGCCATATGTAATTGGTGAATGAATTTTGTAGATAACTAAATGTTTCTCACTTGTGACGGAAGCAGGAACTTTTTGAAACCATTATTCTTCAGTGCCTCTTAGATGATAAAGAGTGCCATTTTATATACATTAGCAACATAGACATGGCACTGTAAGCCTGTACAGTAAATAGTGACTCACTTAGCTGGTGTTTTTATTAAGAAGAATGATGACAATTATGAAGGCATAATTTGTGTGCAATTGCATCATACACACTGTAAAAATGAGTTGAACTTACTTGGAAAACCTGTGGAAACTGATTGCCTCAAATTTCTCAAGCAAATTAGTTTATAATTTTTGAGTTAATAAAACTTACTGTAACTTTGTATAGGTAACTTGTGTATATGTATAGGTTACCAGAAAACTTGAGTGTTGCTTACTCAATTTGACAAGTTCAGCCAACTTAGAGATTTAAGTTAAGCTTAGTGCACAGAACTCAAACAAAACAGTTCTCTTAACAAGTCTGCTTTGTTCACATTACTAGACAAATGTGTGGAAACTGATTGCCTTAAATTTCAAGTAAGCTGTACTCAAAACTTGAAGGTGTTAATACAAAGACAGAAAACAGATTGTTCGCACAACAATAGGGCATTTATTTGTTTAAAACAATGTTACTTCAAGTCATTACTTTTTAGGCATGCTATCAAATCAACAATTTAACACTGTAAGAAAAATTGCACATACTGCACTCAGGAAATAAATAGAAAAAAAAAAAAATTAACATACCTTTTATGACACCTTGTAAATCTAGATTTACCATTTTCTAGAATTACCTTTTTCTAAATCAATAATGATCAATCATGAACAATTACACTGAAAAATGCTCCATCACGCCACAATGACATCTTTCTACATCAGAAGATTTTTCAGAGAATGCATTCTAGGTTCAGCCATTGAATGAAATCAAAGGTGTCCTTCAGTACTGGAGGATACTATAATTTCATAGCATAACAGAATTTTCATTTTTGAGTGAACTATCCCTTTAAGTGTTTTTTTTCTCTTCTTTCCAACTATGTTCTTTTATTATACATTCCCTTTCCGTTTTTCCTTAGAAGTTTTTTTTTTTTTTTCACTTTCTTTATTCCTTTCTATCTTATATTGTTTCTGTGTCCTGATTTTTTTCTTGCCAGGTCTCAAGAATTGTCTGCATTACACTAAATAACCAGAATATAACAGACAAAATTACTTACAAAACATGTCTTGTAAAAATCAGTAAGGTCCTCCTTTTCAAGGAAGAGTGGAAGGCCGTGGAGTACAAAACATGTCTTGTAAAATCAGTAAGGTCCTTTTCAAGGAAGAGTGGAAGGCCGTGGAGAACTGCTGTTCATCGCCCATTGATGTCAGATGTCTCTACAATTATTTAAAAAACATTTTTTATATCACTCAAAGCACAAGCACTCAGCATAAAATATTATTAATATCTACTTATTCTGTGCAGGGTTTCATAAAACTGCAACGTATGATTTTTCATTAAGCGCACATATGTGAATAAGCATATACTATGTGGAAACATGGAATTGGAGAATTTTCATATTCCATAGCTTCCATATTTTAATAAGTTTTTCAGCAGTTGAGCTCTCTTTTCACTCAATAAACAAGTAGAACTTCAACTTCCACTGCATGAGTTTAAATCCCCCAAAAAGAGCACATAGAATATGAAAAGAAAATGGTTATAATTAGTGCTGGGCATTGACGCACATTTAAAAACAATTTTAAATGAAGTTTCTACTCCAAAGAATTTTCTGAAATATAAACATTTAAACTGGTTGTTATAACTTGTTTTCATGACATTTGTTCAAACATTAAATACTGAAAAACGGATTACATGAGGCAGCAACAGCTTGTGGGCAAGCCAAAAAGCTGAAATCTTACTGTTATTTGACAGCTTGAAGAAAAAAAGATTCAGAACCCTATCTGTAAAAAAAAAAAACTAAAAAAAAACTTAACCATTTCAAATTGTATTCACTCTAAAACTGTATTCATTGTTCTTTGCACCAGACAATGGAAACATACCTTTAATCCAACAAACTAGATGCTCTTAAGTACTGTTTACTAAAGTTGTTTAGTTTAACTATTGCATCCACCTGAAAGTTCACATAACACAGTGTAATTAAGTAAATTCAACAAATTTGTAAAAATCAGTTATGTTTTCTCACTTTTCTTAAGTAGATTCAATGATTACTTTTTACAGTGCATCTAATGCTAAACATACAAGCCCTTGAAGCTTCTCTCTTGGTGACCAGACATCGAGTGCACAGTGAGTCGTGCTTTTATATGGGCGCTGATGTGTGTGGTGATGAGCTGCAGGTGCGAGTGAACAGTAATCAGGGGAGAGTGAGTGCTGTGTTTGGGAATGCGTGT